AAAAATATGCAAATTGGGAAGCTTAGAACTCAATGTGCAAACATGGCTTATTAACTCTATGACTACAAAAATTGGTGCACACTTCTCCTTCTTTCCAACAACACGAGAAGTATGGGATGCAGCCAAAGATATGTTTGCTGCTGTTAAAAACAAGGTTGCCGTTATTGATATTGAATGATTTTACATGATTTAAGAAAAGGCAACCTTTAGCGACCTAATAAACACTGATTGTGTGACAGCATGTCGGCAATTCAGATGATTCACAACCTAGTTCATCATGACAGGAATAAACACGTGGACATTGATAGACACCTCATAAAGGAGAAGATTGAATCAAATATTATTGATCTTTCACACATAAAAAACTCATTTCAAGTAGTTGATGTTCTTACAAAGCCTTTGGAATGGCCCAAGTTTGAAAACTTCAGAGACAAGCTAGGCAAGTTGGATATCTACTTGCCAGCTTGAGGGGGAGTGTTAGTAAAGATGGGCCGTGGGCCTCAAAACCCTAACCCTCATTAGTGTTGCCACCTAAAACCCTAATTAGGTTAGTTATTGCAATTTAAGTTTCAGATGTAATCTAGGATTTCGGGATATTATTCTGTTTATCATTCAAACTAGTATTTTTTTATTTTCCTAGGATTTCAGCCTATCCCTAAGATTTCGACCTTTTACCCTCATCTAGATGGGGCTACTGTAACCTATTTATATTCTACTTGTGCAATTCGATGCTATTTTGTTCTTATTCGATATGAAAAACAGTGAGGTACATATATAGGCATGCGCCCTAACTAACCAAATCACTCAGGATACAGAACCAATGAAACAAATAAAATAAAATAAAATCTCCTAGAATCAGGGAACTTAAACTATTGCCGTCTATCTTCTATTTTCTTAAGTAAATAAAACCTAAACCTAATTAGGTTAATTTAGGCCAAGGCCCATATCGGCTCTAACACTCCCCCTCAAGCTGGTGAGTAAATATCCTTCGTTCCCAACTTGCTTTTGAGCTCATCAAACTAGGGCCTTGGTAATGCTTTGGTGAAGAAATCTGCTACTTGTCTGTGTGATGGAACATGCGAAAGATCAATTATTTTTGCATCCATCCTTTCTTTGATGAAGTGCTTGTCTATGTCCACATGTTTTGTCCTTTCATGATGAATAGGATTCCTGACCATCCCAATAGCTAACATACTATCGCATCTTGGCCTGATCGGATTGCTAGGCACAAGTTGTAGCTCCTTCAACACTCTGAGTAGCCATAGCCCTTCACATACTCCGTGAGCAAGTGCACGAAGTTCTGACTCACTACTCCTAGATACCACCGATTGTTTTTGCTTCTTCAAGTTACAAGATTTCCCCAAACCATAGTGCAGTAGCCTGAAGTTGATCTTCAATTAAGGAGAAAACCTCCATAGTCTGCATCGATATATGCATTATTTATTTCCAACTCACCACACTCTGCATCTGTATCACTTGTTTCTGTGTTGTTATGCCTGCTATCCAAATTAGAATTTGAGTTTTCAAGGAGTTCTGGTGGTGGTTCTGGTATTGGTTGAGATGGAAATGGTGAGGCTGTTAAAACAGGGGTAGTACAAGTAGGAGTGGTTGATATAGTATCTTTGGGTTGAAGAAACTCCTATTCCTCACTACTCTCCCCCTAAATGGGTGTTTTTGGATGATAACTTTGGTTTTCATCAAAAGTTACATTCATGGTCACAAAATATTTCTTTAAGGGCGGGAAATAACACTTGTAGCCTTTTTGGGTGGATGAGTATCCAAGAAAAATACACTTGAAGGGTCTAAGGTCTAGGTTACCTCCATTATCATTGTGAACATAAGCAATGCACCCAAAAATTTTAGGTGGAATCTGAGTGTGAAGGTAGGAATTTGCATAGGTTTTAGCTAGGGTTTGGAGAGGGGTATCAAAATTTAGTGTTTTGGAAGGAAGACGGTTTATTAAATGCGCAGCAGTGAGTATGGCTTGCCCCTAGTAGTATTTTGGAACACTGTGTCAGTATTACGGATCTAGTTACCTCAAGAAGGTGACAGTTTTTCCTTTCCGCTGTGCCATTTTGATGTGGGGAATTCACACAGCTCGTTTGATGAACAATCCCATGTTGTTTGAGGTAGGTTTGTAGATATGTTCCCATATATTCTCTCCCATTATCACTCCGAAGGATTTGAATAGAGGAATGGAACTGATTTGAGATCAGTTTGTGAAAATTTATTAATTTTTCAGGTAACTCAGATTTATCTTTCATTAGAAACACCCAAGCTAAGCGTGTGTAATCATCAATGAACGTGACAAACCATTTAGCATGTGTTAGAGAGGGAGTTCGAGTGGGACCCCAAATGTCACTGTGAATGAAAGAAGAAGGTTAAGTGAATTGATGAGAGTGGGGTGTGTAGACACCTTTAGTATGCTTAAACGATTGGCAAACTTCACAGGATAGAGATGAAAAATTTTTATTCAAAGAATCAGGTAACAATCTGGACATATACTTTGGGCTAAGATGTCCTAACCTATAATGCCATAATAACACTTCTTTATCAGTAAGAACAGATGGAAGAGATTTTCCAGTAGCAAAACTGGAAGCACTTGGTTGAGTCCACAATTGTTGAGCATCCACACAGTACAATCCCTCTAGCATCCTAGCTTTGCCAATCATCTTCTCTGACTCCAAGTCCTGAAACAAACATTGAGTAGCGAAAAAATCAACATGACAGTGTTGAAATATGGCAGCTTTGCTCACAGGTATCAAGCTACACTTTAAATCTGGTGCATATAGGACGGTTTTGAGAATTAAGCTTTCAAAGAGACATGCTTCACCAATACCATGAACCTTTAAAAATTTTCCATCTGCTACCTCTATAAACATTGGGAATGTGCACGGTTTTAAGTTTTGAATCAACTTTGGATTTCTGGTCATATGGTCTGTGGCGCCAGAGTCAACTATCCACATATTCTCATGATGAATGTTAGTTTTTAGAGCAAGAATGACATTATATGTGTAAGCTATATTACCGGAGGCAACTAGTTGTTCTTTAGTCTCATTTTTCTAGGATTCTTCGGAGACATTCAATTTCCTCAGTACTGAGTTTATTACCATAATCAGAGTCACCTTTAGCTGTGGTAGCCCGTGAGTCACCTTTCCCTTTGCCTCTGTTTGCTGGTTTCCCATGAAGCTTCCAGCATACCTCTTTGGTATGTCCTGATTTTTGACAATGATCACAACATCTATTATTTTTCCGCCCTTTTCCATCATTTGACTGGCCACCCTTAGTGTACATAACACTAGAGTCAGACTCCAGCTATTGTGGTTGTATAGAGGTAGTAAGTTTTCGCCTGCTCTCTTCTTGCTTCACCATGAAGAATACTTCACGTAGGGAAGGAAGCTTTTCAAAGCTCATAATGCGTCCCCTGATCTCATCAAAAACAGGATTCAGACTTAGCAAGAACTTATAGATCCTTTTCTCCTCCTTGATTTTGGCGTAGAGTTGGGCGTCAGTAGAACAAGCCCATTCATACGTGTCATACATATCCAGTTGTTGCCATAATATTACCAGATTCGTCTAGAATTCTGTAACAGTTAGAGTGCCTTGTTTTAGTTTATCCAAGGCCGCCTCAATCTCCATGATCGCAGCATGATTATTGAGGGAGGCAAACATATCTCGTGCAGCCTCCCAAACTTTCTGTGCAGACTTGAACAGGGAGAAGCTTGCACTTATGTCTGTGGTCATTGAGTTTACAAGTCATGACTGGATCATTGAATCCTCTATTTCCCACTTTGCAAGCTTTGGGTCAGAGGACGGAGGTCGTTTCTCAGTGCCAGTGAGATAACCCAGCTTCCCTTTTCCAGTCACAAACAGACGAACACTCGCGGCCCATTGGAGATAATTCTGACCATTCAGCCGATGAATGGTGATTGACGAGGAGGTAGCATCGTTCGGCACTTGGTGGCCTGAACCCTGATCATTCGACGTTGCAGAGGTATTCAAGGCCAAGGAGTTCATGCCACCTTGACCGTCATTATCCAATCCGAATCCAAACTAGATCATGGTAGCTCTGATACCTTGTGCAATTCGATGCTATTTTGTTCTTATTCGATATGAAAGGAGTGAGGTACATATATAGGCATACGCCCTAACTGACCGAATCACTCAGGATACAAAATCAATGCAAAAATAAATAAATAAATAAAATCTCCTAGAATCAGGGAACTTAAACTACTGCCATCTATCTTCTATTTTCTTAAGTAAATAAAACCTAAACCTAATTAGGTTAATTTGGGCCAAGGCCCATATCAGCACTAACACTACCACTTCATTCGAATAAAATCAATTCAAAACCATAAGAGTTCTTTAGGTTTTGTCCAATGCCAAGCAGACCACACACTTTCGATGAAGCATTCAACAGGTAAAATAGCTATCCTAATTGTATATGTTGATGATATCATTATGACTAGTGATGATGCAGATGAAATAACCAGATTTAAAAAGTCTCTAGAAAAGGAGTTTGAAGTTAAAGATGTTGAGGGTCTCAGATACTTCTTGGGTATGGAAGTGGCAAGGTCCCGTAATGGAAACTTTGTCTCTCAAAGGAAATATACCTTGGATCTATTGAAGGAAACAGGAATGCTAGGAGCCAAGCCTGCAAAATCTACAATGGCACCTATTGGCAAACTTGACAATAAAGAGGAAGATGAGAAAGATGGTAAAGCCACCATAAAGGATTGTAAAAGCAAGAAGAGAATCCAAAAAGGACCCAATTCCTCTTGATGCTAAAAGGTACAAGAGACTAGCGGTAAAACTTCTGTATCTATCTCACACTTGCCTGACATAAGCTATGCAGTTGGTGTTGTTAGCAGATTCACCACTAAGCCGCTAGAGGAACACATGAATGCAGTATATAGGATCCTGCATTATTTAAAAATGACTCGAGGTCGAGGACTCTACTTTGCCAAGGGCAAATCACAAGAAATAATAGTATATACCAATATACCAATGCTGATCATGCTGGGTATCTTCCTGACAAGTGCACTATGGTGTATGGAAATCTAGTGACATGGAGAAGCAAGAAATAGACAGTTGTCTCTAGAAGTAGTGCAAAGGCTGAACTGGCTTGTGGATATTGAGGATGCTAAGAGAATTGAAACTTGCATTTAGTGCTCCTATAAGATTGAGGTATGATAGTATGTCTACTATTGCTATGGTAAGAAGCCCAGTTCACCATGAGCGAACAAAACATGTAGACATTGACAAACACTTCATCAAAGAAAAAAGGGATGCTGGAATAATAGAACTAGCACATGTGCCATCACGTTGCCAGGTAGGAGACTTATTCACTAAAGCCCTAGCTTGATCACAGTTTGAAGAGCTCAGAAGCAAGCTAGGAATGATAGATATATATTCACCAACTTAAGGGAGAGAGTGTTGACGCTACTTGAGCCTTCAGCCTTCCTTATTCAGTAGCATTTAATCAGATTTAATTTCCTATCAATATCCTAGAATCATGGCAGATTTGATTTTGTTTTTGAACTTCGAATTTGCTGATTTTCCTTATTCTCCTCTAATTATGTAATTATGGACAGATCCTAGAATCTAGGATTATTTCTGTACGTATTGTACACTGTCATTCAAATAAATCAATCTTTTCCGGCATCAAATTATTCAGTTTATTTATAAAAACACAAATGTTTTAGAACTTCCTTTATGGTTTAAGGAAAAAATTAATCAGCATCGAAATATTAATGTTTTAGAACTTTCTTTATGGTCGAAGGAAAAATTAATCAATATTGTCATAATATTCTAAGTGATTTACACTATTAATCTTCATTAACATATACATAGATATAATGGATGTTAAACCATATTATTCAAATCATTCTTGTACCAAAAAAAAAAAAAAAAAGGAAAGAATTTTAATTATCTCATCAAGATAATCACCCATTCTAGTTCATTTGAACTCATCCATACAAATCCCATTACTGTGTTGTGGGATTGTGGCATCCAACATGACTAAAAGCAAGTGTGACTATGTTTCATAAATAATATGGAAATTAAATACAGGGAACCTCAACTATATCATCAAGAGATGATCATGCAATCAGATGGTAACAAACCACACATATTACACAGATTTGACATTTAAGATGTTAATTATAATACACTAAGAAGACCTAAAAGTTTGGTCTTTCACAGAATTATGCTTAGTTTACAGTCTCAGTTCCATATAAACACTAAACTTCTACAATAAAATAAAGGGGTGCCCGAATAGTCCCTATCAGCAAAACTACTTTTTTATAATTGTGTAAGGGTCAACTCCAGCTGTTATCAGATCTTGTTGCTTAGACCATAAAATATGATTGCAAATCATGTCAGTGGTACACCTGTGCTTCCACAAAGCAGTGAGTTCTCCAAGGACAAATGTACAGGAAGGAATAGAGAAGGAAGAACCTCTTTTTAGCACCACAGGATTGGGCCAAAGATGACCCGTATTGTTCAAGGATTGTGACTAGCGCAGGACCCTATACCTTTTATATATTCATATTTATATTGAGTATTACAGGGAAGTAATATTCTTTCCTACTTTTTGGTGGCATGCCTAAGGTCCTAGAGGAAGAGGCAATGGCACAACAAATAGGAATGCTCTAAGGGCCTTAGGTCCCCAGAGAAGGCTACTGACTAGCCCCTACTACCAAGAGATTTCCCTAAGAAGGGTTGACCACCCAGAGAGACTACTAGTTCATAAAGGAATTCAAAACCTTGTGCATAAGAATGCAAAGGCTTAGCCTCAACTCCTACTCCACATTGATCGAAACCCCATTGCATATAAAATTAGAAATCTCATTATAAATAACTTCAGAACGAGACAATGACCAACATTTTAACCTTAATTTAAAGGAAGGAAAAGAATGCACAAGTATTGCAGCCAACAAACTTGCTATCATTTACATGCATAGTAACATTTTGCAAGACACATATTGGTGGCTCGAAATAAAATCAACAACTATTCATGGACCATGGATTGATGGTATTTACAGGATATATGACACAATGTCTTAGGAACAGTGATACAATAAAGGGTCTCTAAATAATCTAAACAATGTTGTGGAACAGTCCCACAGATTTCTTCAAGAAATACAAACCATTGAAAACTTCCGAAGTAATGCATTTTAGCTCTCAATAGAATATGGGTGAAAATTGAAAAGTTCAAAATAAGCATAAAGATCCACTAATTAGCAGGACAATTCCCAAAACCCTGCAATAATGCCGAAAGCAGTTTCGCTCACAGCCTTTACCGTGAAATAAAGTATTTCCACAATTCTACTAAGATAGACAAAGATACTTCACACATTACCTCGAATAAATGGGGCTCCCCAGGAGCTAACGTCTCAGTATTACTTCCTTCGTTCGTCATCTCGCGAACATCCTGATCGACCAAAGCAAAAGCAAGGTAAGAAAGCACACAAGTTGACTATGAAATAAATCAATTGCCCATGGCAGTTTTCACAAATTCCAACAAACCCTAATTAGCACACAACAGAGAGCAAAGGTTCTAACCTCCGAAAGCTCAGAGAAGGGAAGGTAACAACTACAACGATGCCAAATCGACGGATCAGATGCACATCGGACGAGACAGAAAATCAAAATTTTGGAACAGAGAAAATTTAGGAAAACAACAAAAATTAAAATCAAATAGCAAGATATTTAGGAATGATTAACAGGGTAGCAGACAGAAATTGAAAAAGCTACAGGGCAATGATTTTGCAATAAACTGCTATGAGGATTTTTGAGGGTTCGGTAAAATAATTTTTCTGTTCGGTTTGTGAGCCAAAAAAGAAAGAAAAAGACGAAAGGCGCTGAAGGGTCTGAACAACGGTGAGGCCGGTAAGACTCGTCTTCGGCAGTAGAGCCGTAGAGGAAGATAATTATTTTATCGTTCATGCAAATTGGGTATTTGATAATGATAATGATAATATATATGCATGTCTTATCATGATAAAATCTATTTTATTTATGGTCATATATTGACAGTGATGATTTCCACCAAAAAAAAAAAACAGACAGATTTCTCGTGGGGAACATATAAAAATAGAGAGAACTCGCGATATTAAAAATAAAATTGGAAATTATGATGAGGATTAAGGTTTTTTATTATACTGATTTTAGGCTTAGTCATCCCGTCTTGTCCCGAGACCATTCCCACCCTATAGGGGTTGAGACGAGACAAGACGTGCCCTTTTTTTTTTTTTTTACAAGTCGATGTAATTTGGGCCTAGATTTTTTTATGTAAATATTTGTTTTTTATTGGACTTCTGAAGATAAAAACACTAAAAAAAATATTATGTAAAAAGCTCAATTGTATAATGTAAAAAAAGTATAAAAACAATACTGCCAAAGAAGAACTATCATAAAAGAAATACTATATAATGGCTTTATTAATTATTTTATTGAAGAAGAAGATTTTATTGAGATAATATTGTAACTTGAGAGCTGAAAATCACTGTAAAGATAATTATTCTTAAAAAAAGAATTAAATAATCTAATAAAATTATTAATAAATAATTTTAAAAAAAATCGGACGGTCTGCGCCCCGTCCTGTCCCCTCTCATAGTCATTATGTCTCAAAATTTTGTTTGTCATGTCTCATCCCAAATTGATCGGGACTGGGATGGGAGAACTTAAACACCCCTAGTTGTTATGAATCAAATCGGCCTATTCGATCTGTGTTCGGTTCAAACATTTACCAAAATCACAAGAAAGGTAAACAAGTTAAGAATCGGTCAGAATTGGTTAAAAAAAATGTTGAAAAATTAATTTGAGTCGACTTTCCTTTTTATATATACTATATTCGGTCCTTAATATAATAGCTAATTTAAGATTTAATTTGATCCTAAATATAAGACCCTAACTATTTTGGCTCTCATATTTATCCATCTTTTCTAAGATAATTATAGTAGTGGTTGCACATGTTAAAAGTTTCATTAAATGGTAGTTCTCATTAATATACATAATTAGCAAAACTATTTTATAGAAGACAACACATATTTATTACAAATAACTAACTGAACTAAATTTTCTAATCTACTCAAATTAGTCAACTAACTTTACATTAAAGATCAAACTTCAGATGTAGTGTTTTGAATTTTTAATAACCCAAAAATGTGTTATTGTGTTTTTATTTGTATTTTGGTCGGTTTTGTCTTCAGTGTCTTTGGAGTTATCCCCAAATATATGATTTTCTTGGTCTATTCATTTTGATCATATACATTCTAATTGCACAGTAGTTTCAATGTAGACAGTTGAATGGGGTATCATAAAAAAATCAACATACATATTTTTTAGAAATAATTAATTTAACTAATTTTATTTTAATAAAAAAACTTATTTAGTTTTTTTAATATTTATAAATTAAAACTCGAGAAAGTATAAGGTCTTCATAAGTTACACCCCTCACTTATGGTCATTGATAGAAAATGGTAGAGAAAGGAAAAGTAAGGTGAAAATGGGGAGGAATGGAGTTTTTTCGAGAAAGAAAAATAGAAGAGAAAGGAAAAATAGGGGAGAAAATTGTTAGAATGGTAGTACACCTAGGAAGAAGGTGAATTAGGTGATAATAAAATTTTAAACTTAAAAACAGTAATCGTAAACTAAAGGAGATCGAGTTAGAAGGATATCATCGCAACGTGAGGGTAAATCAAGATGCACATAGCAATTTACACTAGTTCGGTTTTAATCACTTGACCTATATTCAGTCCTCAGAAGGTCTCTTGGAGTTTTACTATACTCTAAGATTTGTAACAGGCTCTTGGTGCCATAATACAGCAATTGATTACTCTCAATTGCTCCCATTTACTACCCATAAAGTTACAACCCACTCAAGATTCTCATAATTTTGAGTTACTCTAGATGGAGTAATAAAAGTTTAAGTCTCTCTTTTCGAGTAATAAATGAACACTAAAGTATAATTGATGAACTTAATGAAACAGAGCAATAAATTCGATAGCGTAATTGTTCATTTTTCTTCTTTGCTCTATTGAATGCTATAGTTGATCTTCATTAACTATCCATTAGACTTGAAGTGATATTACCATTGTAAAAGCAGTTGTAGATGATGATAGCTTGTAATGGTTGAAGAGCATTTAATGTTTCTGACAAAAGTAGCTTGACAATGTCATTTTTTCATTGAGCCATTTAATCTTGCATTAACCTTGCTTGAACTTGTTATTAGCAACTCAGAGTAGTAAGGAAAGACAGAAGATGAACAATAAATAAATTTCAAACAAGTTAACTTTAATTTGCTCAAAGATCATATATTGATAACCTTATCAATAATTAGCTTTATCAATATTCTTATTGATAAATATCCAAAAAGAAAAGAAAACTAAGCTGTGAGAAATAATGAAGTTCAAGGCCATTTTATCATAAATCTTATCAATAAATTTTTGATTGAAAATAGATAGATTATCTTTGAATTTATTAAACAGCTGAAGACTAAAAAATGAAAAAAAAATCTACATTTACTGATAATCTTATCGATAAAAGCATTTAAAATAACCTTATCAAACACCTTCTCGCCAAAGAACTTTATTGATAACGTTAATGATAAGCCAAAGTATTTCTATTGGGATCTATTAAAACAACTATTCTGAAATTTGAGAGCATCCATTAATTGACGTTATCGATGAAAATCTCTTTTCCTCAAAGAACAAGTTGTTGTCGATAATCTTATTTATAATTATAGAGTCAACTTCAGCATCTAAGTTTTAAAAACAATTGAACGAAAAGGCTTTCTTTGTCATAGTCAAAACTTGAATAAAAACGATTGACCCAAAAGGCTTTCTTTATTATCATCAAAACCCAAATACTAACAAAAATAAAGTGAGTCTCACATCTCATTTTCTCCCCAAAATTTAACTCCACAAGTAGAGAGATTTTCATCCAAAAAATTCATTCTCATTACTACCCTCCCTAAAAGGTGTAAATGACATGTTCACCTTTTTGTTTATAATATTCCATGACCATGATGACAGTGTAAGATATTTTATTTTATAAGTATCAATTTTAATAGTATTATTAGTGACATTTTCATGATATCAATTTCTCATGCTATCATAGGGGGTGTTTGGATAGAAACAAAACTATGATTTCAGAAGTAATTTTACAGTCTACAAAGTAAATATGTGGAGGAGTTTGTCTCGATTTGCAAAAAAGTGCTTTTAAAACATTAGAACTCATAAGCATTAGTCTTTCATTTTACTTGATTTTTATCATTTTATCAAAACATTAGATAATATATAATTCATTTATTTCCTTTTATTTTATTTTATTTTATTTTATCATTTTACTTGAATCTGGTGACAAGAGAAATAAGAATATACTAGGAGAGCACAAAAAACCTAGTAGTCTGGTCCAACCCAAGGTAGTTATTCCAAATATGCTCTTTAATAAAATCAAACCAACCTGGACGAACTGGTTGGTTGGGCTAGACTAAGTTCCTAACCAAGTGACCAAACCACTTGGACTAGTCTAGTTCGGTCCAAGTGAATACTATTTTTTTTTTATATATTTTGTAAATTGGATGTTGATTTTTATTATTATGAAATATTTTTAGAAATTCCTATGGATTTATAATTAAATTAACATTTTGTTTATGAGTTTATATGATTATAGGTATTTTTTCATTGTCTTAATTATGTTTATCAAGTTAAAATCTTGAATCTCACAAAGAAAAGAAAAAAAGAAAAAAATTGAGGTTTTAGGCTACTTGGACTGCCCAAGGTAATCTAGTGGATCAATTTTTTTTTTCTATATTTTGTAAATTGGATGTTGATTTTTATTATTGTTTATTTGCCACTAAAGACTTAAGCATGCTCTCATTATGGACGATTGTTAATTTATTGCTGAGGACTATTGGTCTAGATTGTTATGGATTGTTATTCATTTTTGGACTGCGAGTTTTCCTTTAAATAGCCAAAGGGCCTTAGAACTATGCTCTAATCTGTTTACATTCTTATTGAATAAGTAAATTCTAAGTTCTTACATTGTCGCTCCTTTGCCATCTAGCCATTATTATTGTGTTGTCATAACTATGTTAATCAGTTTGAAAACATGAGAGGCTAAATCTTTAGCCTCTGGGTAATGGAAGACAAATCTTGAGCTCAAGGACTTAATAGGGGAGTTATCAATCTAAACCAGTGCTTAATTCTGTGTTAGAGATTTCTAGATATAGGGATTTTTGCATTTGTATCAAACTTGGTTTATGATTGTAAATCTTGTGTTTAGACTACTAAATGTATTTGGATTTGATGTTGTTGATGTTGAATCATTTATATAAATATTGCATGTGGGAATCCTGGTGTTCAATTAATGATTAGTGATTATTGATTATTAATCTATGTGCATGATATTCTTTGGTTGTCGATTGACATTCTGAGCGCATTTCATCATTCATTCATTTGCACTCTAAGTGGCTTTCAATAATGTTTTAAAAGATGTTAATTAACTTTGATTAAAGTGAGTTTTCATTAATTAAGACACTAGACTCAAGTGATTACTTGGGGTTTCCCTTCAGACTTAGAGATTTCTAAAACCCCCATTCATTTTAAGAGCATTGATAGCTGAGTTTTTATCATCAAGAGACTAGTTTACCATAATTTCCCTTTAATCCAAAACATTTCTTCATTCATTTAAAATCCCAAAAATAATTATTTCTCTGCACTTTACATTTATTGTACAATCTTTAAAACAATTAAAACTCCTTTTTTTTCTTTGCCCAAATCATCATGTTTTTTATTACCAATTTAGACTAGGTTGTTTTCCAATAAAGCGCTCCTTGAGAAGAACGATTGATTGCATCCTATACTACATTATCTAGTGCAATCACAATTTTGATGACCCAGAAGGTGA